GTCACTATTACATAGCCTTAATGAAACTCTCATGCCATTACATGCCTTTGAAATTGGTCGCACTAGCCATAAGCATGGTACTTTAGATCCTGACGTTTTCCCATGTATTATTGCTCTTAATTTCTTTTATCCGAAAGACCAACCTTTTTAGGAACTGCTGTGCAAGGTCAGTTACTTCTCTGTTGCAGCTGACACCTCCCAGAACCATCCAGCTGAGCTCTATATTTTAGTGCAAGGTCAGATAGTGCTTGCTCATCTCCCAGCTTTAGCAGTCCAGTAAGTTTAAACTCTGTGAAGAGTTTGTGATACCGTTTGCAGATGTATGGGATCACACCGCTCCTGCCCGCCATGACATGTTGCTGCCTTTGTGTATGTGTGGTTTCCGATAGGAAAGTTTCTGATCTTCTGGTTTGCTGGAGGCCTGTGGATCATTACATTTGCTCTCTTTCAGGTCCATTTTTTTTTTTTTTGCCTCAGGCAAACACTGTGCAAGTAATTGGCCTCTCTGTTTCCCAGGGGAGTGTGATGCCCACATCCTGGTTTGGGACAATGCATGGTTTGGTTTTTGCTGCCCCTGTCTGTCTCTCTCCTCCTGCCCTCTCTCTCCCTAATCTCTGGTAGGGTTCCCAACTAACCCCTCAGTTGAAACCTGGGCAGGAGATTTGTCAGGTTCTCAAGGGAGAAATCCTGCTACAGGATTTGCATTATGGTCAGCTCTGGGGGATCTCAGCAGGCTGAGCTGTAAATTGCACGCAAACTGGCCAGCAAGTTGGGCGCTAGGTATGCAATTAACACAACCGATTAGCAGTAATTCATATTGCATGACTGCCACAAAACTGGAGAGAGTCATTGAGCCAGGTGGTATGTTCTCATTAATATTTATGGTCAAAAAGCTTTAAAAATCACTAATAATAGGCTTTGCATGCTAAAGAGCTAGTGAGGCAAGAAGAATAATATAATATGAGGATAGCTGTTGAAGGACTAAACTGGTGGCAGGCAAAAGAGCAATAGTATTGAGCAATAAGAGGATTTGTGCTCCCAAACCTACTGAATGCTTTGGAACATCCTACACAAGTAATTCAGTGGGTTCAGCAAATATTCCAGAAGAAAGTTCTGTCAAGCTAGATTTAAGATAACCTTTTTGCTAAATCCTTTACCCTGAATGCAGTGGCAGAGGAGCGTGTGGTGGGAGAAAGCAAGGGCTGACACAGCTGACCTTGCTCGGTCACCTCAAGATCCAGCTACGCATCTGGGCAAGCCCAGCTCGCGTCAGCTCTATTCTACACTGGAGCGATGGGATTGCTGTTGCATGTGACCTACTTCCAGAGCTTGGGGTTTTTTTGGGTCCCAGGGAGGCAGGGCATATTGGGTGACTATGAAATCATGAAGACTTTAGGTTGCTCACAGGCCTCAGAGGGTTGATCATGGTGCGACATGAAAAAAAGAGGATAATGATGAGTTATACAAGATAGGACAGGAAAACAAGTCTTGTTCATCAAGGTGTAAAGCAATGTCTGGCTGCATGGAGCAAGGAAGAATTTCCTTTGTGGCTGAGTTTGTACAGGTGCATCTTTGGTACTAGCCTCTATTAGTTGCTATATGGGCATAGATGGACCAGTGTTCAGGACTGAAGTCCAGTTCGTCTTAAAAAATTATACTGCATGTAGAGAAGTCTTGTAAAAAGGACAGAGGATATGAAATTGAGGAAATACCAGATGGCATTAAGCTTAACTTAAGAAAATCTTGTTTGGACGAATGCTAAAATAAAGGCTGTCAGGAAAATGCTGCTCACTTGAAAGGAGCAGGACTTGGCACTTAGTTAAGAATCTTATAGACCCTGCCTGCAGCAGCAACTGTCACCACTGAGCAGTTGCTAGACAAGGGCCAGGAAAAGAAGTGAGGTGCACTGAATCAGTGGTGCGTTTAAGGGATTGGGTCATGACAGCACTTCTGAGTGGCTGTAATCAAAGCAAAATGCTTAAAATGAGTGCAGATGCTTCTCCCAGGCAGGACCAGGTGCCACCTAGTTACCAGACAAAGTTCTAGTTGCTTTTGCTTCCAGGGTTCTGACTCAAGCTGAAAAGGAAGCTATAAGCAGGCGGGAGAGAAATGTTTATTGTTTGATATGGATGTGAAAGGCTTTACCAGAAGATGAACAGTAAAAACATGAGACAGAACATCAATCTGTGAAAGTTATTATCTGCAGGCATCTTGCTATGTTTTCCTCTTACATAAACTCTGTATGAATATAAAGATTACTGTTAATAATTCAGGTTACCAACATCATCACTGAAGGAAAGAGGAGATTTGGGACAGATTCATGTCTGTCAAACGTATTCATCAGCGGGTGAGAGATGGGGCCACAGTGCAGAGGTTTGGCTAGCATGTCTTTCCTGATGAAATACAGCAGATTTACAAAAGCAGATCAAGTGTGAAGGTGTTAAAGGCCCTGCAGGGACCACTGGAAACAAAACCATTCTCCAGCTCTTTGTTTTTTGTTTTTTTTTTAATCTATTGGTGATGTAGTACTAAGGCAACTCTTAAGGAGGGGAAAGATAGTGACAGTATGTAACAGGAAAAGTGGCTACTTTCTCATTCAGCTATGAAATTGTGAAAGAGAATGGAAGTAACACAAATCCAGTAATTTTGGTATCATTTAAAATCATATGCTTACTGTTCTCGCCATAAAAGTACCTAACATACCTTTTGAAAACAATGTCTGTTGCTGATAGTTCAGTTGCATTTGGAGTCCTTAGATTATTTTTGTAAAAAGCACTGTGTGTAGTTCTGTTTTGTCAGGTGCCACTGGAAATCTTTGCCTTTGCTGCAGCACGTGGTGTTCCTGATCAGACCATATAGAACATCTAGGAAGTGGTCCAGGGTGAGGAGAAAAGGAGAAAGCGGAACATATCAGGAGTACACAAAACACGATGACGTGAGCTGCTCAGGCTGTAGCAAAGATACACAAGAGAATGGCTGACAGAAGTAAGGATCCCTGTATCTGCTGCAGAAATGCAGGCGGGAAAGTGTAGCAAAACCACTTGCAATCTCTGAGATGAGATAGTACAGATATCTCCTCCTGGCAACTGTGTTTTCAAGCTAAAGGATTCAGGAATGTCATATTGACTTAACCTTCCCTCGCAAGGGATCATGAATTCTTGCCCTCTTCAGTCCCAAGCTTGAAGTCAGCCTGCTTTCGCTTTACTGTTAGCAATGTAGAAGCTTGAGGTGTACCTCAGCCCAGCTCCCTTGTTTGCAAACCACTCTGCAAAGAAGTCCCTGTCCCAAAAATCCCAGAAGTTCTGAGGCAGTGTAGCCAAAGATAGCACATGCCATTGCATGCCACAAAGCTGGCGGTGCTGCTTAACGACATGCTTCTGCTTACACAATCATCAGTGAAGCAGTTAACACTGTGACAGAAACGATAAGCAAAGGTTATTTAAAAAAAAAAATAAAAAAAAATTTTGTCTGAGGGCAAATACTTCCAATAACCAAGGGTGGTAGTGGAACAGGATGCAGAGTTATAGGAAACAAAACACTTTATTCTGCATTTCTAACTGAATGCCTCATAAAATGCAGTGGTAGCAGCTGGCAATCTGCAAAGTGACAGGATAAAGCTCATTCTGCATATATACAGTAGCTTGTTGCAGTTGATATACTTTTTCATAGAATTTTGTCTTTTCCAAATGCCTAAGTAATTCCAGATAACTTCCAGTAAACAAGAAGACAAAAGATCAGCTCAATGCATGACCATGAAGAACTTTTCTTTTTTTTCCTTACTAATGTATGCTTAAAATCACCTGAAAATAATAAAATGTGCAGTTTTCATCTTGAAATTATTCTGCTTTGGTATCACTGTGTAATGGCATGAGGCTTCATCTTATGACAGCCAAAGCTGGAAAGAGGGCCTATGTTTTCTCTGGGAGGAAACACCCCCAGACTTCATGCTTGCATGCTTGTTTCTGTATCTGAAAGATTTCAACACACTAGAAGTTTGAGAACCATTACTTTTCTCTTTCCTTTGGAAGACAGAAAATCTGGAGGTGGAGATAAATCAGACAGCCTTTATGGGCTAAAAACTACAAAAAAGACAACTTGCATGATTTCATGATTTCGTAAAGCATTCCTACATAGTTTTTCCTGTGCTGCATTTCATGTTTACAGGATATGTTCGATTTACTGGGCCTTGCTGATAGGAGGAACTGCATAACTCACTAGTGACTTTGCTGTTTCTCAATACAACAGTGATCCTCAGCCATTCCTGGCAGAATTTCATGCCATGTTATATCACCCTGCGCTGTCTCAGATTGATCATGCAATCTTGAGACAACATTCAGCCTAAAGCAGGATGTGGTTAAGCATGAAGCAGCAAAGATGTCACTTGGGGATTGATTCCTTACGAGTCCTAGATTTCCAATTTCTGATGAGAATTGCTTGACAATTTCCCTAGTGTGTGGCAAATCACAAGGGTGTTTGGGTGGTACAATTTGAGACCTCTGGTCATTTTGCTATAAATTTCTAAGTCCTTGGTCCTGTAGAATTCTGTTAGAGAGAATTCTGCTAGAATTCTCAAATTCTGCTGTATTAGAAAGGACCCCTACAGGAGAGGCACCGTGCAGAGCACAGCAAGCTGTACCCTCTCTGTGGGCCATCTTTAGGAGGCTGTGCTTTGGGAGACTGCAGTAGTGTGTTTCAAGGTTGTTTATAAATATCCCTCATTACGTCTGGCAGGGGACAGGGCAGCACTGTGGTGGCACACTGATGTAGTCATAGGATATTTAGAAAAGCTAGTTAACTTTTTATGATGTGGCTTAGGTCGAATGGGAAATGGTTAGGAAAAGCCTGTGGCAAATGTTAACTAGAGGCTGGGCTGGATTATGTTTCTTGGCTCAGTAAGCTGTGTGTTTGTAAGTAAATTCTGTTTTCTGAATGCTCCTTCCAGCAATATGTCCGTTTCCCTCCTTTTTTGTTGTTATCTTATATTTTTCTTTTTTCAACAGATCGACAAGACATTTTACAATTCCATTTTAAGGAAAAAATACATCCGTTCACGCTTAATCAGAGTGAGGTATGTGAGATTATAATAAATGCACGCAGCTGAGATAAAATGAAATGTGCATCAAGCCCAGCTAGAGAGCCATTTGATCTGATTCAGTAAAGCGTATTTCATGTAAGACCAGAACATAATCTCCAACTGAGTGTCATCTTACTCTGAACCATGCCCTCCTTTGGATCTTGATGGAGAAGATAAACTTCAGTCAGTCCAAATTCTGTACAAGTTTGGGTTCAGAACTTGAGCAAGCTTTAGCTAATAAAGTAGGTATAATTTGAACTATCCAAAAATAAAAAGCATTTTCAAAACTATTTCCTTCACTATAATGCAGTTGACATTTTACTTCTAGTATTGCTACTGTGCTGGGCTTGTCAGGTAAAACCAAGCATGGCTGTGCTGGTTTCGAAGGTCCCACTTGTCATTCTTGTGTCTCTAAGAATGGACCTAAGTAGGTGCCTAGGGAACAGTAGCAGCACAAGAGACACAAATAGTAACTGCTTCTTGGTATGTTCTCTACCTCCAGCTATTTACCATTTGGGGTTTCCTGAAGTGGTTGTTTAGCAGCCCCTGGTGGAGTTATTTTCCGAGGACTTAGAATCGTAAAATCGCTTAGGTTGGAAAAGACCTTTAAGATTATCAAGTCCAACCGTTAACCTAACCCTGCCATTACTTGTCCAGTCTCCCCTGGACTCCTGAAATTCTTGCACCTCAATCCTTTAGTAAGGAGTTACTTGTGAAGAGCCACCTTCTTTGGACCATTCAATGGCCCCTAGTTCTTCTGCTGGAAGAGGATGATGAAAAGTTGATCTCTATCCCTCTTCTCCATGCCATTAGTGGTATCAGACACTCCCATCATATCCCTTTTCTCTCCTGTACGCCATGAGCTCTACTCTTTTTTTTTTTTTTTTTTTTTTTTTTTTTTTTTCAGTTGAAAGTCCCAGCCTGCTCAGCCATTCTTTGCAGGAACTGTTCCTTATCACCCTGCCCCGTGTCTTTTCCAGGTCTGCCATGCCTAGTTTTTTCCTCTTTATTCTCTGTTCATTTGTCAATAATACCTAATGTTTGATTTGATTTTTTTGACCACTGTTGAGTGCTGAAAACGACCTTTTTATAGAACTGTCTATTGTAATACTAAGGCCTTGTTCCTGAGTGACAGTGCCCATTGCTTTGCAAGTAAACCTTGAATGCCTTAATAATCATGTGCTAAAGCTGCAAGACTAATGACAGCAGCCTCAAGATCTTATTCTTGTGAATGTATTTCTCATTGTTCTGCAGTTTGTGGCATCCTGCCTCCCATTCTATTTTAGCTTAATCCCCAGTTAGGCAAATCACACAAGTAATTAGTTGAATGTAGCTTTAGAAATATTTTTCGACACTGACTAGAGTGGTATATGCGTAGACAAGGTGATTTAAGGATCTGAGAAGCCAATCTGTAGGGAGAAGTAATACTTCTTCATTACTTCTTGTTCCCAAGGGCAGACTGAGGTATTTGCTGTGATGTTTGCCATGTTGGATGCGAGACTTGTATGTGCCAAAGTTTGTTTGCTTTTTCAAATATACAAGCTTTATGCGTCTTCAAGTGTTCAGACAGCAAGCTCTTTTAAGCAGGGTCATTGTTGTGAATTTGCTTGGAAAGTACTGTGCATATTTTTTGGCTTGGTATAAACAATGCATTAGTAGTAATGCCCACTGCTCACTGAGACAGACAAAACAAATCTTGACTTGGTGCCTTTGGCTCTGGACCTTTGCTATATAGTGAGTGATTCAAGGCGAGCTGTACTTATCTGAGAGTTTCGAGAGGTGTGGTGTGCTTGCAAGAGTTGATACGGTAATTCCAGTGTGGCACAGCACAGGAAGGGGAGTGGGGGGAGAGGTGAGGGAACACCTCAGAAATGCAGAGCAACACCCACAGTTGGATCAGATAACATCTGGAAAATAAACAGCGTGGCAATCACACTGAAGTTGGCACAAAGGGAAAAAACCAGCCTGTTGGAAAGTTCATGTACTCAATCTCAATTATGAGATCCCTGAGGCAAGGAACGTGTCTTTCTGCTCAGCTACGAAACATTTAGCATGCCTTGGTGTGCTCGTAACACGTGGCCTTTTATTTGCCCTTCACTCGTGATAGAATCATAGAATCATAGAATGTTTGGCGTTGGAAAGGACCCCTAGAGGTCATCTAGTCCAACCCCCCTGCAGTCAGCAGGGACACCGCTAACTCGATCAGGTTGCTCAGAGCCCCGTCCAACCTGGCCTTGAATGTTTCCAGGGATGGGGCCTCCACTACCTCTCTGGGCAACCCGTTCCAGTGTTTCACCACCCTCATTGTAGGCCCCCTTTAGGTACTGAAAGGCCGCAATCAGGTCTCCCTGCAGCCTTCTCTTCTCCAGGCTGAACAAGCCCAACTCTCTCAGCCTGTCCTCACAGGAGAGGTGCTCCAGCCCTCGGATCATTTTAGTAGCCCTCAGGAATGTCTGTTTCATTTTAGCTGTGTGTTCCCTTCAGAGATCATAGCCTGACTGCATGACTTCTGTATAAGCTACCTGCCTTCTATTTTTAATTTTCTTATTTTTCCTTTATGTAATTACAAATTTCCAAGACAGTGAAAGCTAACTGGAGGATTTTGTCTTTTCCTTTCCTGTCTGAATGATGTGAAAGACAGACCAACCTGCTTTTAGCTCGCCCCCTGTATGAAGCAACCGCAATTCCACCTGTTGTGAGTTGTGTCATTGCTTCTTGGCTCAGGTAGGAGGAGGCACAGGAGAGAAGGTTCTCCGTACATGCTCTTATCTTCCCTGTGTAATGACCAAGGATAAGCCATCTGCAAGCACAGAGCAAGATTTACTATGCCAGATTAGACACCTTGGTCTTTGCAGTCTAGCATTCAGTCTCTTGCAGTATCTGATGCTTTAAGGAAAAATAAATACTACTACCAGGTGAATTCAGTCTGTTAGAAGATTTTTCTTCCTTTTCTTTCCTCTGATCTTGCATCAGAACTGTGGAATTGTGTGTCCCAGTGTGGGTGCCGCTTGTACTTTTCAGTGAGATGTTAAAGGCCCCTGTTGTGGTCCATCTCTTGGACTGTGGTAAGTAGGTTGTGGATATGCTGCTGAGTTTCCTTCATTGTTGCATAATGTGAGGTTATTAGTTACATTCTCCCAAGAGGTTGCAGTGGTAAAATTGGGTTGTGTGGTGTCTCCCCTTTGCTCAAGTACCTTTGTGGTGATGATTAAACATTTTTCTACTGTGTATGTATGGGGCCCTGGAAAGGTCTACCTAGATACCATTAACCATTCTGAAGCGCTGCATATCCAGCTTTTCACTGCAACTAAATCAGTTCGTTCCCTCCTGCTCTTGTATCCCAAGCATGTAGTCAGTGACTGCTTTTTAGACTCCATTACAACATGGGCCTGGCCATTTGTTCACAGAGACCATCATGCCTAAGATATGTGTGACCATTCAGCATTTGCTTGGATTCCTTTTGGCGATTCCTTCTCTCAAAAAATGTACAAAATGTTCAAAAATGTATCTAATCCTTTATGTTGCATTGCCATTGCTAGAGGATCTAAGATAAAAACTAAGAAATGCAGAAATGGGCTGAAGGTAACCAGACTCTTTCGTTGGTTTGTAGCCCAGACGCTGATGGTGTGATGGCAGAGGCTTTGCTAACATTCTGGTTCTCCGCTACGGATTCTAGAGAAGCATTGCGAGAAAGAGTTGAAAGGATCTTACGGAGGGGCCTGAAAAAATACACAGGGCCCCTGCGAATAAATGTCAGATCTTCCACCATCTCAAGTAAGTATATTACATCTCTCTTAAAGGTAGTTCTTACCCTTTTCTGATTGATGTGACTTCATTTTTCCCTTCTGATGATGACTGTTACTGAGTCTGAATGACTATCTTTCCTGCTCATTAAGTTAGAACAAAATCAGTGGCAATGTAGAAACCCCTCCTAAGTTTTTAAAATATGTCTTAAATATGGATAGACAGGAGCAGTGCTTTATGACCTTGCAGTACAGCATTAGCCTTCCTCCAAACTGCGGTACCAACCTGGTGCTACTATTGGGCTAAAGAGTAGGAGCCTCACCACAGTGCTTCGGTACACAGCAACGCAAACATGCTCCCTAGGTCTTTGCACTTTCAGGCTCCTCAGAGAAGCAGAAACGACGCTAGGATGACAGTGGGTAAACAGCCAATGCACTGAAACAGTAGTATTTGGTGGGAGGATCAAAATCCTTCCAGATTCCCCGGAAGAAAGGAAAGAAAGGGAAAATGTTCTTATCTATGTGACTCCTCAGCTGGTGATCTAGCCCCTTCTTTGCAAAGCAGACCTGCATCTGCAGGATATGAACATTAACAGCACTGTCTTTTTGATTTAGTGAATTACCAGACACTGAAAGGCATCCATCCTCTTCTACCCTTCTGATCTGTTAGGGAATTTTTGTGCATGCTTTAGACTCTTGTCTCTCACTTGGCTTCAGTTATTCACAGTCAGCACTTTTTCTGGGTGTCAGACTTTTCAAGAATGAGTTGCTAGTTGAAAGGAAGGGGCAGATACTTGCCCCATTTGTTTTTGCAGACCTTCCGCTTACTCCTAGCACAAGGGTGGGAGTACAGCACATGGGTGGGTACTTTCTGCTTGCTTTTCCACACTAGACTACTTAAACCAGCAGAGATCAGCAGAGCCCAGATGGCTGTGTTGATAGAACAAGAAGCCTGGGCCAGATTCCATGATGGATAGATCCAGACTTCCTCCCACTGAGAAATGACCAGGAGCAACCTCTTGTTCTGCCTTTTGGTGTTTGAACTGGGCACGCTGCATTGCTGCAATGCAGTGAAACTCAAATACGAGCTGTCACACCCCCGCTGTTTCTTGATGGGCCAACCAGTCTTCTCCACTGGAATGGCTCAGGATGATAGGTGACATCCCCGTGGGCAAAGAATCACCATTTCTTTGCTGTGTTTTCTATAATGCCAGTAGTTCCTGTTCAGCAAAGTGCACATGTAATTTCTCCCAGGTAGAAATAGTGTGTGGGCATCAGCTAGAAAGATTCAAGGAGAGATTTTTTGGGTTTTTTTGGGGGAGGGGTGGTTGGTTTTTTTGCTTGGTTTTTTTTTTAAGTTAGTCAGGTCACAGTTTAGTGACTTTTGAAGCTTCAGTTTAAATTGGTGCCTTACAAAAAGGATAAAATTGGAAGGAGTACAAAAATGCTTGCTAGAAAAGGACTGTGATCTCATCAAGTTACCTGATTAACTGCTTTTATTCAGTCTGGTAAATGTGGGAAGTGACTCAATACTCTGTTTTAGTTGACCTTGAACTGCAGCAGGGCTGTTACAGTAATGCACTAGTTGCGAGTTAAAAAAATTAGCTGATATAATTGAATCACAATATTTTCATTAAATACTTGGTCTCAACGAAAGATGGCATCTCTGCATTACTTTGATAAAGCTGTATGATAAACTTTGTGTTGCTTTTCTTGGCTCTTCCAGCCTAACCATAAAACACTGACTAGCATTGTGCAACGGTTACACGTGACACAAAGGAACATTAACAATACCTTGCCATTTCTAGGAGACAACAATAAAAGATTCCTTTTGGATCCTTCTTTACTAATAGGATTTCAGGAGTGCTGTGAGGCTTAGGCAAGCTCCTGTTGGTGCTGCTGTTTAAGAAAACCAGGTTGACTCCAGTGAAGCATACAGAATGGAGCACTCCTATGCTTAGAGGAGATGCAGGTGTCAATTTATAAAGATCATCTTCTTCCTCATACCTGAGAGAAGTGACAATTTTCAACAGATCCTGGAAGCCCAGAGAAGGATCTAGGTTTTGCATTTCCCACCTCTCTCTCCCTTCCTGAAATATCCTGCCCAACATTAATTAGCACTTAAACCAAGGAAAGCTGAGAAGCCCTAGATATTTTTCTACGCTCTGCAGCACCTTTCTAAATCTTGCCTCATTGTAGCTTTGATGGCTTTGCCAGCTGGAATCCTTGTTTATCTTGAGGCAATCCCAGAACATTTTCATAATGGCGTGTAAAAAATAATTAACCTGTTCATTGTAATCACATTTATCAAAAGATTCTAATTTGGGGGCTGTGATATAGCTTAGTTTAGCTAAGCATAGCTAACTTGTGGAACAAATCCAGGTCAGGCACTTACATTGCATGCTAGGAGGGTCTGATAAGGCGAACCTCCTTAAGTCTTCCTCCCTGCATCTAATCATCTTGTTGTTCAACACCCATGTCTCAACCTGCACTTCACTCAGAAGTATTTGCATTGAGGATCAGCTCCAACAAAGTCCTGTGAATTGGGTGCAACACTTGGGATCTTCAGCTGCAGTTCAGGGCAGCAGGACAAAACTAAGTAGTCTGCCAAGACCAGGGGGTAGAACTTGCTTTGCCTCTTCATTCCTGAGGACTGGGAATAAAGAGGGGATAAAATCTAAACTGACAGTGTTTTATTAGTTCAGGGTTGGTTTTATTTTTTTGAAAAGAGGGAGAAGCTTGATTGTACAGATGTGAAAAAATAGCAAGTGCACAAAACTTAAAGGAAAATAAAATAATAGTCTTTGATTTGTATCATCACTAAACAGTAGATGTTCTTTAGATAGGGCTGTAAAAATACATTAGTATCGGGGTACCTTCAGATGTGTTATTCCTCAAGTCTCTGCTTTCTGATTTAGCCAGACTTCATAGTCCCCTGGTCAAGGACAGTGGTATCTCCAGACATCCACTATATCTTTGATAGAAAATAGGAGGTGATAGAGATCTCTGCATTTGTGTACAAACCCCACTGGAAGCCCAAATATTTTTCAGTGGAGAATCAAGCAAACTAAGCCCTAGCTTCTCCAAATAGCAGTGCCAAGGGCCAGCAAAATGAGCTATCAAAGTCAGGTGACTTGGAAGTACCCACGTTAGGACTTGCTCTTCCACTGGCTCTGGAAGAAGAAGGTGTCACTGTTTGTCCTCTGTATAGTTCTGGTGCCAAAGAGATCTCCTACAAGGCTGATGTTTCTTTTTCCCCAGGGTTTCTTGGGTAGAAGTAGAGTCACCTCACAGCCGGGATCCCTATTGAGTAAAGTGTAGAGCAGCTTGCCAGACTATTTCCCTTTGTCAGGTATGTTGGAAGTCTCCCAAAATGTATTTTTGGGAATGTACTTCTGACGTCAGAAAGGAACTGGTTGCAAGATCACTGGCACTGTTCAAAGTGAGTAGGAAGTGTTCCCACCTGTTGCACAGCCAAGGGTTTTGACCATGAACAGTGAGTCATGAATTGGTTTTGATCAACAAGTCAACTGTTATTGTTTCTATTCATCTGGCATCCAGGGCTTGCTAAAGCTCTTTACAAATACAAAGTACAAGAACCTGGGCGACAGATTCTCACTTTTTATTAAGTCTTCTGTGGGAGACGTGGATGAGTGTCTGACCTGGATGACTGAGGAATGTTTTGTCTCAAATAATATATGTAGCAGTTTGGGGTTTTGTACTTTACCAGCCACAACAGCAGCTTGGGGGAGTGGAACAAGATATGCATTTGTACATTGGGAAATACAGTGGAGATCTGACATTCTTTCACTTTGATGTCATTAGTTTGGCACAAGGTGGTACATGTCAGTGTTTGCAGCAGCCTAGAGAGGCTGACTGAAATGCGAGGGACTGAAATGCGAGGGACTGAAATGCGAGGGACAATGAATATTTTGCAAGGACATGCTTGTGAGAAGGGAATTAAGCCAGAAATCATCCTGACTTGACTTCTTAGATGACTCAGATAAGTTGATTTAATTAATTTCCTCAGTCAATTCTCGTTTTTCCCTTTCTCTGCCTTGCCTGCAGAGGGTGCAAGTGATTTGGGCTGCTGCTACTGTAGTGAGACCTTGATTGCAGCTGGGGTATGAGTGTAGGTCAGGAAGAAAAATAATGCTAAAAACTGTATCAGTGTGGATACACGCTACAGAACTGGTATGTAGATCCCTCCTCGGGCTGCAGGATGCCCAGATGGAGGAGTTGTAAGTATGCTGTGAGGTGTGGACCTCTGTCTGTCCTCATGGACAGAATTAAGATGTGGTCGATGGGGGTGAGGGGGAGAAGTCATGGATGTGAGGACAGGTCCAGTGGACATAAGGGAGGGAAGGGCTGGGTGACAGGGACAATTAGAGGTACAAAGCCTTCGTCTTGTCTCTACCAGGCTACTCTCCCCTGTTGAAGGAATGAGAATTGCATCACCTGTATCTAAGCCATGTTTTGCTACTTCTTCAAGGGCGCATAACTCTAGGGAGGTAATTCCTGTTGAGAGAGCGGTGAGAATATTGGAAGGTCAGTGGGGAGATATTTAAGGTTGTGCGCGCTATGTGAACACACAAGAGCATGCCTT